AGTTCGGTACAACGCTGCTGCATTAACATACTTACCTGTGGAGTTAACTTCGAAAAAAAAAATATAAATAAAAATGCGAAATAAAAACTAAAAACTAGAAAATAAAAAAAGGTAAAAAAAATGTTTAAGTTAAACCGTTTTATGTAAAACATGTACTAAATGTACTAAAAGCCTAAAAATAGTATAAAATAGATACAGACGTGGGAATTATAAACATTGGCTTAGACTAGACTAAAATAAAACCGTGGGGCAAACAAACATTTTAATCAACGATTGTACACAATTGACTTGCCCCACGGTTTTATTTTAGTCTAGTCTAAGCATATGTTTATAATTCCCACGTCTGTATCTGTTTTATATTATTTTTAGGCTTTTAGTACATTTAGTACATGTTTTACATAAAACGGTTTAACTTAAAAATTTTTTTTACCTTTTTTTTTCAATTGTTTTGCAGGGAGTAGCAGATGCTGACGAAAAATTTATAACAATTGAAGTGGGTGGCAGAGGAAAGCAAAGCTATGGTGGCACATTTTGTAGATCCACTTGGTTTAGATTGCTGGAAGCAGGCAAATTCAATGTTCCACCATCACAAGCACTACCAGGCTCAAATATAATTTTGCCAAACTTTTTAATTGGAGATCAAGCCTACCCACTGAAAAATTATTTAATGAGGCCATATCCTTGAAAAAAGTTAAATGCAAAAACTGAAAAGTTCAATGAAAGATTATCAATCGCCAGGAAGTGCCAAAAGCACAGCATTTTAACTAAGAAATGGCGAATTTTACAAAAAGATATTAAGACAAAACCTAGCACAGCAGTTCACATTATAAAATGTGCTTGCATTTTACATAATTATGTGAGAGAATGTGATGGGGACAGTGACCTGGACTACATAAATACGACAGCAGAAATTAATAACGGAATAGTGGCTTCAAGAAATGTGGATAATCTTGAAGAACAGTCACATTGCAATAGAAGCAGTGAGTCAGCAATGAATGTTAGAAATTCTTTAACTGATTTTTTTTTTTTTTGGGGATTTCCGATATTAAGTCATTTGATTAAATAATGACACTTTCAATAAAAATATATATTCATAAACACATATTAAATATAAATTTACTTACGTTGTTATTGTATATTGTACATAACGTTAAATAAAAGCTTACCTGTACAGTCACAAATAACTCCTACTTCATCCCAATTCTTATCAGTATAATTTTTATTTTTATACTCTTTATAAGTGTCATTCCACAACACAGTTCGGCCTTGAACAGCCGAAATTAAAACTTCCGCGCATATTTTTTGAGTTCTTAGCATTTTATCGCTCAGCGATGCACTAAAAATTAAAACCAATTCTAGCGCTGAGCGACGTCGCTCTGCCGCTCAGCGGCTGCGTGGCCACTCCAATGCATTTTCATAAGCTTTAATATTTTACGTCGCTCGAGAGAGCGTCGCTCAGCCGCTCATCGCTCAATGCGTGACCGAAGCCTAAGAGGAATACCGCCGACCCAAGCTTACCGGCAGCTGCTTTTATCAATTCAGTATCACTGAATTGTGTTTATTGGGAGTTTAATTAAGTTTATTCTGTTGAGACTAAACGTCATTTTGGCTTATTGTTTGGCTACAAACTTATCCATGGTTAAACCGTAAACTGGAATTTCCAAGAACAAATTAATCATAGTCCCATAGTCCTATCGACTAATTACACAGCCACACAAAAAAAATATTTTTTCGGGCCTGGAGGTCAGACCATGTTTACTATATGTTTTCGGGGTAGCTGAATCCGAATCCGAGGTCCAAAAAACCCCAGCACGTCAGGGTTCTGCCAAAGAATAGACCTAAGAGAGACCTTACTAAGGGACAAGGAAATGTAAAAGTATTAACGGGAAATGTTTCTAAAATAATTTTCAAATATGTACTTGCAGAGAATGAAAAAGTATATGAAATAACTTTATAAAAAAATTTTAAGAACATCAACATTACTGTAACGAACTTCTTTTGTATGATCTCCTTGCACGTAAAACGCGCGGCTAGCTCAACTGATATTGTATGTTAATCCGACCAGTAATTCTGGACCTCACTAACGGGCCTAAGCTAAAAGTTAACCGCGCAGATCTCAGACAAAGTCCTTTCTGCAGCCACGTCTATACGCTCCACACTCGGAGTCCGGTCTAGATGTCAACGGTCCTGCACCTAGCAGACTACTACTCTCGTATGATTTAACGCCCGGTTGCCTACGCACAACTTCCACGCCAGGCCTCCTCCAAATGTTCCGTTCTTCAAGCTGGTAGACGCGGCCTACATTTTACATAGCACCTTTCGGATCTCAGCGTTGCAGTCTCAGCTTAGTAGATTTGACGTTAGTTTGGATGGAATTTTGGTTTCAACAGATCCGTTCAATGGAAAATAAAAGGGCTCCGAAAAAATCTAGTGAGAGGAAAATGATATGGGAAATGTGGATCCCGAATCATTCGTTTGCTATCTCAGAAGATTTATCAATTGCCGAAATTGTAATTTTAAATCTTCTATTGAAACATCTCCAAATTAAGAAAATATCGAAATTAAGGAGGCATTAATCACGTGAATTCACACAAAATTATTAAATAGATAGCGATGAAATTGAAGTTTTAAATTTTAGGGTTTTGATTGCCTTTTGAAACCAGAGATGTATAACGCTGCTTTTAAATTGAAATTTAGGAAAACAAGAAAGGAAGCTAGCTTCGGCAAGCCGAAGCTTATATACCCTTGCAGTCATCAAATATGTCGAACAAAACGCATAAAGGCTAGACAACATCGAAGCTAAGACGATTTTTCTATTCATTTTCCATATTTTCGACTATAGATCATATGGGAGCTATATGATATAGTTGTCCGATTTTCATCAAATTTAATTCGTAATTCAAGAGTCGTTAGAAAACTTTAAATTTCAAAAATCATGCTTATCAAATAAAAACCAACGATGTTATAATTTTATTTCCGTTATTTCTATGAAGATTTTTCGATCTTTCCTATGGCAGCTATAAGATATAGATGACCGATTTTTATGAAACTTTTTTTCCAATATAAACGTTGTTAAAAAACTTGATATTCAAAAAATCATGCTCGTGGGATAAAAAACAACGATGTTATCAATTTATTTCCATTAATTCTATATATAATTTTCGATCTCTCCTATGGCAGCTATATGATAGTGTTATCCGATTTTGATCAAATTTAATCCGAAATTCAATAACAGTTAGAAAACGCCATCTTGAAGAATTCAAGTCGATCTGATCAAAAACAACGGCGTGAGAATTTTTTATTTCATTCTCTCATATGGGAGCTATCCGATATAGTCGGCCGATCCGACTCGTTCCGACTTATATACTGCGTGCAATAACTACACACCTTTTGGGAAAGTTTCATCAAGATAGCTTCAAAACTGAGAGACTAGTTTGCGCGGAAACGGACAGACGGACAGATGGACAGACGGACAGACGGACAGACGGACAGACGTACATGCATATTTGGATTCTGATCGTGATGCTGATCAAGAATATATATACTTTATGGGGTCTGAGGTGTCTCCTTCACTGCGTTGCAAACTTCTGACTGAAATTATAATACCCTTTTGCTCTGCAAGGGTATAAAAACAGACATGCAATAATTTTGTTTTATGTAGATTTTTCAATCTTTCCCATCGTTGTTCGAACCTTATGAAATTTTTTTCATAATTCAAAGCTAGCTTAAAAACTTGATACTGAAAAAATCATGGTCGTGAGATAAAATACAACGACGTTATCAATTTATTTCCATAAATTCTATATATTTTTTTCGATCTTTCCTATGGCAGCTTTATGATAACGTTGTCGGATTTTAATGAAATTTTTGTTTCGATTTAAGGGTTATTAAAAAAGTCCATATTTTAAAAATCATGCTCGTGGGATTAAAAACCACGATGCTATAATTTTATTTCCGTTATTTCTATATATATTTTTCCATCTCTCCTATGGCAGCTATATGATAGAGTTATTCGATTTTGTTCAAATTTAATCCAAAATTCAGTAACAGTTAGAAAACGCCATCTTGAAGAATTCAAGTCGATCTGATCAAAAACAACAAAGTGAGAATTTTTTATTTCATTCTCTTGTATTGGAGCTATCCGATATAGTCGGCCGATCCGGCCCGTTCCGACTTATATACTGCGTGCAACAACTACACAACTTTTGGGAAAGTTTCAGCACGATAGCTTTAGAACTGAGAGACTAGTTTGCGCGGAAACGGACAGACGGACAGATGGACAGACGGACAGACGGACAGACGGACAGACGGACAGACGTACATACATATTTCGATTCTGCTCGTGATGCTGATCAAGAATATATATACTTTATGGGGTCTGAGGTGTCTCCTTCACTGCGTTGCAAACTTCTGACTGAAATTATAATACCCTTTTGCTCTGCAAGGGTATAAAAATATGTTATAGAGTTTGTCAAACAAAGCTAGTAACAGCAGTTAGTTAATTTAATACAGCAATTTATGGTCTCAAGCAGTCAACTCGGTGTTTTTTTATGTTTTGAAAAATACCTTGTTTAAAACGGGGTTTCAATTACGTTTCTATTACATATTTGAAGTAATTGACAGGTTAATTTGAATAAGATACAGGTAAGACGGTCCCGCTGCTTGTGTACCTTTAATATTTCTGTTACCTAATAGAGATTTAATTGTATAGTACATGTTAGGGGCCGTCCATAAACCACGCGTCGCTCCTAGGGGGGTGGGGGGGTTCATCAGAGAGTCACGCTTTGTTGTAAGGAGGTTGTAATTTGTATACATATGTGATGCGTCACATAGGGTGGGGAGGGGGTCAAAAAAGCCAAAAATAGCGTCACGAGGTTTACGGACGGCCCCTTAGCAAGTTGTGGCATAGTTTCTAAATGCTATCGTAGGATATTCTACCGAGACTGAATAATTTTGAGTTGGAATAGGGTATAAAGTGTATAAATTGGAAATTTATATCGATATCTAATCGAAAAAAATAAAAATCGTGTTTATTAGATTGCGTTCTATTAAGTAAAATATATATGGCCGCGAGAATGACATATAATGACGGAATGCCAGATCAACAATTTCTTTGGGATGTGTTTCAAAGGTAGGGAGGTCAACGTAAATATCAAAATACAATTAGTATACGTTTCTTGCAGAGTGGACAAAGACAGGAGTGGTCATATCTCCGCAGACGAGCTACAAGTGGCCCTTTCGAATGGAACTTGGTCTGCATTTAATCCCGAAACGATCCGTTTAATGATTGGAATGTTCGATCGCGAAAATAGAGGAACCGTATCCTTCCACGACTTTGGAGCATTGTGGAAATATGTAACGGACTGGCAAAATTGCTTTCGGTCATTTGATCGTGACAATTCCGGCAATATAGACAAAACTGAGCTTAAAACAGCACTGACGTCATTTGGTTATCGTTTGTCTGATCAACTAATTGACATTTTACTTAAAAAATTTGATCGCTTTGGACGTGGTACTATTCTTTTTGACGATTTCATTCAATGTTGTATAGTGCTATATGTGAGTATTCGATTTTAGTACTTGTTTTTATATTAACCATGGCAGTATTAGTAATAGTGGTAGTAACTTTTCATCCACATATGTACATAACTATTATAGGATCCACAGTAAATCTACAGTCAGCACACAATTTATTCGGATGCTCACTATTGTAAAGTTTAACTGCATTTTTCACAGTACTTTCGGAATTTTAAAAACTTTTTTTTTACGTATTATGAAAACAGATATTTTCTGAAGCCATTAGAATAAAAAAAATTAATTTTTTTTTACAATGCTCTAACATCTAGTGAAAGAAATGCAAAATATGTGCCTGAAATACGGCCCAAAAATTATTCGTACACTTTTCATTTATTGACTTTTATTTCTGATTGCAACGTAATTCGATCATTTTTTTTTTGTTTTATATTAGGAAACAGTTAAGAATAGTCATCAACGTTTTTTTTTTTTGATTTTGAGGTTATTTTTGCTACGTTTATTAATAATATTAGACGAAATAGGAGGTTGTCAAGATTTGTCTTTGTAGTTGCGAAAATTTATATTAAAACTGCATTTGGAGAATCGTATCTTTCGGGAAATCGGTAGAATCAGTGACAAATCACCTTCCACAATACATAGCGTGATAAAAAAAATTGCTGGACACATGAGATTTAGCTGCAGATCTCAGTAAAGCTGGTAGGCCCAAGATACTAACACCTAGTGAGGAGCGGAAAGACGTATCTACAGTCTTGCAAAATACAAAATCAACATCTACTAAAATTGGAAAGAATCTAGAGGAAGCTAGACAAAAAAAAAATGTTTGCCCAAACCAACCGCAACTACCTGTAAAAAGCTGGTTTACATGGCAGAGTTGCTCGCCGAAAGACCTTAATTTCAGACATCTACAAAAAAAAAAGTGTTTAGCTCAAAAAACTGTATGTCAGCAAGTCGGATTCGTTTTGAAAGAACGTAGTTTTAAGTGACAAATCAAAATACAACAAATTTGGACACGTCGGTCCTTCCTAAGTTTGGAGAAAGGCCAATTAAGCTTTGAAAGAGAACAACCTTATACCAACTATTAAGCATGGAGGCGGTTTGTGGGTGTGTAACTTCGTGTGGAGTCGGCAGAATGGTGTTTATAAATGATAAAATAAACAACACTATGTATAAGGATATTCTTAGCCAAAATTTTATTCTCAAAAGTTGGATTTGAACCATAGAAATTCTTATTTTAACAAGTTAACTACCCGAAGCATTCTTCCTATATGGTGCAGAAATGGCTTTTGCATCACAGCAAACAGCTTAAAAGAATTCCCTAATCTCCAAATTTAAACAAAATAGAACACGTATGGGACATACTTGAGAATAAAATAAGGATGCACAGTATATCCTCAAAGGAATCCTTAAGAACCGCATTACAGGTGGAATGGGATAAAATAGGCGTTATAAAGACAGCTAATTTGGTCAAAAACATGGGTCGACGTTTAAAAGCAATAATAAATGCTTTAGGAACACCCACCAATTTAAAAAAAAAAATTCACCTAAAAAATATGTCTATATCCCGATTCTTTGAAGTGTACGAATAAATTTTGTGCGAGAAAAAAAAGACTTTTTAGGTTATTTTGAAATATTACGTAGTATTAAAGCAAAAAATTTATTATACCTATAGTTTTTAAAATGTATGTTTAGAATGTTGTTCTTCAATATGAAATATTAACTTTTTATATTCGTTATATATTTGTCGAGTTATTGATGAAAAATATTGGAAATCACGGGTGTCCGAATAAATTGTGTGCTGACTTTAATAGAAACCATAAAACACTTAAACTAAAATCCATGTTTGTAGGTATGTTTAAAAAAATTTTAAACAAGGAAAGTTCGGCAACCCAAAATTAGGTATGATGGTTTGAAATTTAGGTAAAGTTGCGCTTTAGCGGCTTTTGATAAAAATGGGGTAGGATATTTATTCTTTTTTAAAAAGGCTACCTTGGGGCCTAAACATTACTAAAAAAGTGGCGGAAAGCTTGATTTCTAATTATTTATTTGTAAAAATAGCAAAAAAGCAACTGGCCATAGCTTTTCTGGATATTCACTCAGTACTATAAAATCAGTCTGAGTCATTTCGCAACCTTAACAGCGTTGAGTACTAAAATTGGAAGTGTCTGACATGGTGAAATTGTTTAATTTCTTTTGTTTTTAAATTTTCACACAATTGCAGCACTCTTCATCCACAATACATTCTTCCCGGTAAAGTTTTTCGCTTGAAAAACATGGCAATGTTCTAAAAACAGGTTGTCTCGCGGCAGTGATATTTATTTTAACACATAATCACAATTTACGCTTTCCGCCACATTTTTATTAATGTTTAGGCCCCAAGGTAGCTTTTTAAAAAAGAATAAATTTCCTAGCCCATTTTCAGCAAAAGCTGCTAAAGCGCAATTTTACCGAAATTTATTGAAGTGAAAACTTCTTTAGCGGCGCTGAGCAGGGTAAAATTTTTCAAACCCGCGTCAGGGTCCCGTTATGCTGATCGAAAAAGCGTAAGATCGAGGGGAAGGGAGAGGAACTAGTATCTCCCACTCTTTCTACCGTGCCTGAGTCATGGTACAATTATACAAGGTAGTCTCGTCCATGGTACAATTATACAAGGTAGTCCCGTCGGCTTTTCTTCCCCCTACCTTGTATAATTGTACCATGGTCTCGTCGGCTGCAAAATCGCTCAGGTTTTTTCCCCCTATGGTTCAGTGCGCTCGGGATTTCAAAGTGAGAGGTTGTCCGCGGACGATTTTTTCTCAAAACGTTAACCCTTGTGTGCTTGTGAAAAATACTTGTTGCAATTATTGCAGCAAGCACATACAAGGCGTAACATGTAATATTGCAGAAAAATATTTTGAAATGATTTGTGCAAAAACCAAAAATTTCGGAAAAATTAATACTCATGGTCATATCACAGTCCTTTTTAAACCCCGTGCACAGCATAAGGGTAAAACGACATCATCTTCTTCTGTTTCTTTCGCACTTACGGGAAAAAACCCTCTCACTCGCACTCATTGTAGTGCCCAATAGGGGGAAAAAAAAGCCGACGAGACTACCTTGTACTTACACTTAAATAGGTTCGAATCAAAACTGTTTGTTTCTTACTTCAGTTATCATAAACCAATTGTATAAGTTGTAAAAATTTGCGATGATGATTTCTGATAATAACTATGGTGTAAAAGTCGTCGAAAATATGGATGGAAGTTGATTTTTCTGAGAGATAAAATTTAATGTAATATATAAATAACGATATAATATTATAAATAACAACATATAAATTGCCATATTTGTGTACGATAGCGCAATAAATAAACATTGTATTCTACCTCTCTTATAAATGATAGTACTTTTATACTTATAATTAAACACAACGTTAATATTAAAGTTTTCACTTCTGCCGGCACTCCCGGAGTGCTACCGGTGTTTTTTTTTTTACGGTAAACCAGAGCCAGCTAAAAGATTAGTCACAAATGCAATGCGATAAAGGTGACACCTCAGAACCCGTAGGGTTATTTATACAGTTTCTCTAAGCTTTTTTCGTGTAAGAATAAAAAAAAAGTTTTAAATCGATACTGCTACTAAACTAGCAAAAGATATCAAAAAAATGTAAACGCAGTAATTTTAGGAATCTCGTATATTATTAAAATAATAAAAGTTTTTCCGAATTTAAAAAACAAATCAATTTTTCGTACAAAAACTAAAAAATAGGTCGATTCTAACGCACAAGCTTATTTCGTGCAAGCACTTTAATGTTATATAACTTAATTAATTCTTAAATTTATAACTTTTTTTAACTGACTTCTGTTTGTAAAAGGGTTTAAAATTAATTTCACATAGATTTGAACTTTTTCTAGTTGTCTTTACGCGAATTTTACCCCACTTCTCCATTAAAGCAATCTTAAGATACTTTTTGAGGGAAAATTCAGTTGTCTGAATCGCCAAGTCCAAAATAAGGTCCGAGTTGCACCAAACCAAATATTCAACGACTACGAGGAGCGCTGTTTTGTCCGAAAAACTAAGGAACCCCTTAAGCTATCGGCTTCAAAATTTGTGTGGAGATTGAGAACGAAATGGTCAACAAATATTACCCAAATACAGTTTGGAACATATTGCACCACCATGCTTTTAATGGTCTAGTTGCAAGAAAGAATATTTTCAAAGGTATAAAAATAAGATGCATTGGGCCAAGTCCGCACTGGTACATAAAATTCGCCCGATATTTTTCTTAGATGACAAAATTTCTGCAGACGAATCAATATTTAATTTTATTTTAATCGGTTGGGAGACGCTACATGGAGCGGTGTTCCAATACGGAGCAGGAAACTAAAAAGTTAAACGCAACGATTTGGCACGGCGGTGACCATGTCATTGTTTGGGCTTATATGGCTGCGTCCGGCGTCGGGAATTATGTTTTTATTGTCGGTATCATGGATGCCAAGATATATTTAACCAATTACATGGAAAATTTGGTTAAAAATGTCGATAACTTAGGTAAATGGAATCAATTTAGATTCAACCAAGACAATGACCCGAAGCCTATTGCAACAATTGTAAGCTTTGGTTTAGCTGGAACTGCCTCAAGGGGATTTAAACCCCCACTCAGTCTCCAGACTTTAATTTCATTGAGCATTTGTGGGAAATTTTGGACTTGGCAATTCGGAAATGTGAATTTTCCATCGGAAATGATCTTAAGATTTCCCTGTTGGGGAAGTAAGGTAAAATACCCATGAAAACAACTAGAAAAATTTACAAATACATGTAAAATTGATTTAAAGTCTTTAAGGGGTGAGGGGGGGGTAAGGTTTTAAAGGCCAAAAAAAGGGCCATGCTTGATCTTTTTTGCGGCGAAATGAGTAAGTTTGTTTTATTGAGCTTAATCACATGTTATTGTTTAACTTTTGAAGAGTATTAGAAAAAAAATTATTAAAAAATATTAAGAAATAAGCCTGTGGCGGTTAATCTTCCGAAGCGCCTTAAGAAAAAGTTGT